GCAATCACCGAGAGGCTGATTGATGACATTCCCCGAATTTATGATTGCAAGAAGAGAGAAATACTCATGACATTCTATTTCCAGTGGTTGCGGACGTACGACGGCAATTTAAGGAATCACAAAATCAAGAAACTTAAGTAATCGGAGGCTATGCCACCTAGAACCTTCGGTTCCTTTAACAAAGGATGAAAATAAAAACAACATATCACACAGCATGGGAGATGACATTTTCATATGTATGTGATAATGGATCAACATTTGAGAGAGATGCAATAAAAAGTTTTAAATTTGACAAAAGCAAACAACCAGAATTAAACACTGGAAAAGCCTGGGTGACAAGACTGAGGCACCCTGTCTCAAGAAGAAAGAAACAGAGAGATTTAAAAGCAGGGAGTGAAACAGAGGTTTGTACACCATTGTTACTACTGGCCCGTGTTTCAGTAGGAAAAGGCGAAAAGAAGGCATTTATCTCCGGGCCGGGAAAGCTTCTGATTTCAACACACCTGCCCCAGAAAAGACAATGGAAAGAAACGGGTGCCAAAGGGTCACAGTCCTCTCATTCCACCATCCTCCCTAAAGTCATCCTGATTTCATGGGCCCCTGAGACCGGGGATTCTTCTGTACACCTCGAGGGCTTGGCGCCTGGCCTAAATTCCTATTCTCTTTCTTCATTCTCTGAAAAATTTTAAGAAAATCCTAGAGCCCGGATCCTGTATTCCTAGTAAGCCAAAAGCCCCAAAGAACACCCAAATTCTGTCCTCTTAGTTGGGAAACAAGTCTACCTTCATCAGCCATGACATTTTGCCACCAAATGTGGTAAAGCCCTGAGTCCTACCACACAATCTTAGTGGATATTGGAAGCAAGCATCTCAGACGATGAAAATACATTGCAAGAATCCCTAAGACAAATGAGGTTATATTTTCCCTTTCGGTGACTAAAACAACTGCCCATTTAACAATGGTATGCAAATCTCGTTTTAGCGCCCTGCTTTTAAAATCTCATTAGGTTTCTCCTGGAGACAGGGATCACTCCCACCACTCCAGGCATTTACAGTGTTAATTCGTGTTATATGCTATTCTTCAAATTTACAACTATT